TATGTGTAAGCTATCCTTCCAAGAAGATGTTACTTGTCACCATGTCTGGTGATCGAGATAATGTGTGAAGTATTTCCATTCGGCCCTTTCTACTGAGAAAACTTAAGTTGTTTCTCACTGACTGTATTCTACTAAAATTCAAATTCCAAAACATAGCATGTTCATAACTTGATCTTTGAGGGCTCACAATTTCCTCAGCATCAGACTGACAACAGATAAGATAATTTCTCTCTAGTAAGATACACTTTATTTGCTAACTAAACTTCTTGGACAAAGCCCATGAGATTAAGAAATATTTCTGTCCTGATGCTTTTCTCCCTCAAGCATCCAGAGATATAGTTGGCGTAGATGAACTTTGGCCAGTAAGGTATCCCCTTGGCCAGATGACCCAATAGACTTTTAAAAGCATTAGTCTATCAATGACTTAAGCTGGGGTACAAATCTCTGGTTGCTGCACAGGTAGGGTGGGGTACTCTCACTTAGACTCAGAGCCCACCACCATGGTGCACAGGTGGGGTGGGCTACTCTCACTTACTCAGAGCCCACCACCGTGGTGCACAGGTCGGTGGGGTACTCTCACTCAGAGCCCACCACCGTGGTGCACAGGCGGGGTGGGGTACTCTCACTCAGAGCCCACCACCGTGGTGCACAGGCGGGGTGGGGTACTCTCACTTACTCAGGGCCCACCACCGTGGTGCACAGGTGGGGTGGGGTACTCTCAGTTAGAATCGAAGCCCACCACCGTGGTGCACAGGTGGGGTGGGGTACTCTCACTTACTCAGAGCTCACCACCATGGTGCACAGGCGGGGTGGGGTACTCTCACTTACTCAGGGCCCACCACCATGGTGCACAGGTGGGATGGGCTACTCTCACTTACTCAGAACCCACCACCGTGGTGCACAGGTCGGTGGGGTACTCTCACTCAGAGCCCACCACCGTGGTGCACAGGCGGGGTGGGGTACTCTGACTTACTCAGAGCCCACCGCCATGGTGCACAGGTGGGGTGGGCTACTCTCACTTAACTCAGGGCCCACCACCGTGGTGCCCAGGGAAGGAATGGCCAGGAGAGCCTGTGCTTGCTCACTCAGCTGTTGTTGGGGGAAGACAGGCAGAGAGTGGGTGCTGGGATATGGTAGAAGACTGGAAGCCGTAAGACTCAGATCTATCGCTCACTAGATGCATTCCCTGAGAGCCCTCTAAAGGCTTTCTGAGTCTCGGTTTTCCTTTTCTGTGAAATAGACATAATACCTAGCCCTAAAACTCACCACTTTGGTCCATACAGTATGGAATACAAAATTTCCAGCCTCTTCTCTCACTACCTGACAACCCAAGAAGATGGGATATAGTCCTCCATCTGTACGGATATGTGGTTTTTCTATTTCGATGTCTTTGCTTATGTTGTTTCTTTTCCTGGCGTGTCCATTTTCCTCATGTCCATGTGTCTGAAACCTACCTCTTTTGCAAGTCCTAGTTTAAATACTCTGTCTAAAATGAAACTTTACCCACTTCCACCAAGCAGAAGTAATTCTCTCTTCTCTTTGTTCCAGCTATGGTGTGCGCACTCGAGGGCATTTAGCGTGCCCTTCCTTCCGTTGCACCCATTTGTTGCTGCTTGTCTGTGTCCCACTGGGCTGCAAGCTCCTTGTGAGGGAAATCATGTCTGTTCCATCCCTGGATCCCTAGCCGGTGCTTAGCATGGCTCCTTGCACACTGGCAGTCAATAACTGTGTGTTTGAGTTGCATGAGAGGGGGGAACTGAAGGCATATCTCTGGACCTTTCTCCCAGTCCAGGCTTGAGGGACTCTGCTTCTCAGACTGAGTCTGAGACAACCCAAAGTGGTAAGGGAGACAGAGCTGATGGCCTTCTCTGGTTCTCCTACTTGTAATCTTCTGTATTCTTTGGAATCAGTTGCTTCCTCGTAGATGGATGCACTCTCGGGATTTTATAGATTGATTTTATACATTTTTATGTATAGATTTTATACATTTTTTAAAGAGAATGAAGCCAGACCAACTTCAAACATGAAATTGCGGGGGAAGTATGCAAATGTTCTGCATTTTATTTGATTTAGTTTAAGAAATCTATTGATTCTTTTTTCTTTTCTTAGTTATTGCATCTGGTCTTCTTCCTTTTTAAATTACAGGAGTGTTCGTTCCTTTCTTTTCTTATCCCCTGTGAGTCTACATGGCAAAAAACCAAGAGAGTGAATTTCCACATTGCCGTGTATATGATCAAATGAAAGTCACAAAATGAACCTAAGTTTATCAATAATGTTCACTTATCGGGATCATCGACATATCTTATACATTGATATTCCCTCTATATTGTTTTAGAAATATTTAATTATCAAGTTTCCATTACAGTATTATTCATGTAAGTAGGTGATCAAAATATTACAACGTGGGTGATAATCTCACCAACTCTCTCATCAATTTCCTGCTCTCAGTGCATTCAGCCCTTCTCTCATGGAATCCTGGACTTGAATACATTGTTCTCTCTGCCTGTTTCATTGCCTCTCTGCAGCTAGTAATGAACCCAAAGGGCTCGGTCTTTCAGAACATTTTCACGACTGCAGTGATCACACTGGAATGCTTTAGAGTGAAAGGAACATTTTGGCTGAAATCCAATTCGACAGACATTTATCGAGCAACTGCCATGGGCTGGAAAACCGGGGATGCCCATCCATTGCTTGTTTTGTTTGAGCTCAGGGAGGGGGGAAACCACGCATCCAGCTATCATACAAGTCAAACCACGATAAACGTGAACAGGGAGAGGAGAGCCCCTCAGGATGAGGAAAGGAAAGGCATTAACACTTACTGCATACCATATCCTCTCAGGGGTGATATAAAACATTCAACAATCTCTACGGCTGGGCACTGACCAGGCAGAATGGACATTGGCCACAGCGTGCAGCAGAGTCCCGCAGAGCCAGACAGTACCCCTTAAGTTGCCGGATCACGGGAAGGTCGAGGCTCTGGGTGAAGTGGTGAGGCTCGGGGTAGAAGAAGGCACTGGCGGGGCTGGGGGGTGAGGGAGAAGCACATGAGGGGCAGCAGCTTTTACCAGCTGTTTTGAAAGTATTTCGATATTTTACCCCTGATATGGCCATCTTGGTGCAAAGCAGGAGAGGATCAAACACAGCGACCCCATGAGCTAAGTATTACTGAGCAGAATTTAAAATGAGGAACTCACATATCAGGGCGGGGACGGAGGCACACCGCTGGTAGAAGAGAGAACTGGGCTCAACCCGCGTCTCCCCGTCTGTAATCGTGACTAGTTCATACTCACAAATGCAGAGGAGGAGGAGGAGGGGGAGGAAGACGATCATGATGTTCAAAGAAAGCGCCTTTGAGCTGGGCCTTTAAAGTCAAAGGTATTCTATCATCACTTCTCCAAGAATATGTGATGTCAGGTTAGCTTGTTCCATCTCTAGGAAGGGTCTTATCATTCTTTCCTCGCTAGCCTTCTCTCCCTTCCTTTCTTCCCATATTTACCACTTTCCTCAGACAAAAGTTCTTAGTCTGGGGTTCAGTTGCTGGGGGCCGTGGATGAGCTCCAGGGACCCTAGATCCCATTGCGTTTGTGTCTGCCAATGTGCTTTTCTTTTTTCCATTTTTCCCATTTTTTTCTTAAGTTTTTAAGGACTAGTTACATTTCTAAATTACAATTTGATTTCATTTGTTGTTTTAGTGACTAGAATATTTACATTTTCTAGGGAATTGTGTAAATTCAGGGCTTTTGTCCTTAAAGTTTTGGGAAGTTAATTCAAGAATATTGTATCCCAATGTGAATTTTTGTGGGAAGATGATCCACAGTTTTCTTCTGGTTCTCAAGGCCTCGGTATAACTCCATTCCATTAGAGGAGACTAAAAAATATTCCACAGATGGAAATTTTAAGTATTATGATGTCATAGAATGTAACATTCTGAAAATACAGCATATCCACTTGAATTTCCAAGACCTGAAAAAGTAAGTACTCTCTCTTTGGCACTTCCATGTATATTACCATCAAATAATGGCATTTCCTCTCACACATACCAATGAATACGCTAGGCATTTTAGAGAAAGGAGAGACCACAGAACTTAGGCAACCTTGGCAGACATGGCCACACGTTAGTCATGGCCGACATTTAGAGACCACAGGTCATAGGGGCAGTTCCAGTGCACGGGGCGGTGGCCTGGGGGTCTAGTGCAGTGGTCAAGTTCAAGCTTGGGATCCGACCACTGGGGTTCCACCTTGGCTGTTGCTTCCCTGCTCTGTAGCTGCGGACAAGTTACTCATCTCCATGTGCCGCCATATCCTCATCTTGAACATGAAGGTGTTAATAGTACCTGTTTTTTACCATGGTTGTGGAGAGTAAGCGGTTCGTGCAAGGTGGGCTGCTGGACCCTTGCACCAAGGCCCAGTGGCAGAGGATCAGAGGACCCCACGCCCCAGTAAACCCTCCTCCTGTCAGTCCTCACCTCCTCTTGCTCCCTGGCCTTTATTTGTGGTCACTTTTGTGCTGGTGTCCTCTGTTGCTGTCTCCTCGTCTTTATCCATGGCTTCCCCTGTCCCGTTGGTAGGGTGGGAATAGGTAGAGGAAATGAAAACTATGACATGATTCTGGAGGCTTGTCCTGTTTTAATGTAGCAAATAAAAATATCTCAAGATTCCAGAACTACTCATTCGGTCAAGTAAAACTCAAAACAAAGGAAAGCAGCACCTCTATTTTACGCTTTACCCAGCAAGGCTCATATTCTTAGTTCCCTAATACGTTTCTCAAGTACAGTTTACACTTGTGGCCATGTCAGTGAAACTGTCAATCAACAAACATTGCTTGAGAGATCAATATACATAAAACATAAAGGGGGATAAAAAGTAATTTCATTTATTAAAAGTAAATACACAGGATGCAAAGATTAGCAAGGATTCTGTGAGTCTAATCATCCATTCCTATTTGACTGAAATCTTGTGTACCTTTTTTTGTGTTTAGAGTTTTTTAAAAGATGAATGGACATTGCAGCCCATCTTGAGAAAGCCATGGCAGAGTCAGTTAAGAAACATCAGTCTAGCACTTCTGAACCTTCTCTTCCAGCAACTTTAGTCCCCAACAGCATCTCCTTTAATACTGATGGTTCCATCCAATATAAAGAAAAGCCATATTCCTCTGCCTCTGAAGCCCTAGATGCTTACATTGACGATTTTCATTTAAGCTGTGAGCTTCCTGATATTGATGATACAGAGGGTAACTTGGATCACAGCCCTCTTGAGCTTCTTGCTAAACTAAACAGTGGTAAGCTTTCGTTATTTTCTGAGTTCAATTTTTAATTATCTGTAGAAAGCTGAGGCTTTGAGAAGTTCTATGTTCTAAAAGATTTTTTCCTTGGAAAATAATTGTCTTAACAATTCATGAATCTTTTCCTAAGATTGTTATATAATTTTATGTTTCCAAAACTTTTTCAGCAGTAGATTCCTTTGAATTGAGAGTGAATTACAGAAAATGCATCCCAGCCTTGATTTCAGAGTGGTAAAGCTGTGGCCTTGGGCTTTGTGACTGAAAGTGTGACAAAGTCACTTAAATACTCCGACCTACAGTTGCCCCTTTATAAAATAAGAATAATAATAATAATAGTGCCTCACAGGGTTATTGTGGGAACTAAATGTATGTGCAAACGCTCTGTGAATTGTAGTGTCTGTGGAGTACCCAGGTTCTTTCTGTAGCGCAGTGAACGCTATAATAGAAGTAGGCGCCTTGGGGTCTGGCTCCCCTTCTGGTGATGACGCTTGAGATAGGAGAAATCACTGACTCTCCCCGGGCTTGAGTGTCTCTGTCAATAAGATGAGGAGACTTCACTTTATGAGCTCCATAACTTTAAAATTCCATAGTATGTAGATGGCAGAAAAATAAAATTGGTCAACTCGAATATTTCTCATGAAAAAAGTGTCATTTGTAGAAGCTGAAAAAATACTATCATGAAAGCAAAACGGGATGTGAATCTGAATTTGTGGCTGATTGCCCGTGAGGCCTTTGGGGAAATACACCTGTCTGGTAGTAATTTCTCTTATCTATGTAATAGGAATAATAATAATAGTAAAAGTGCCTGTTTCTCCATGAAACATGGTCTTTTTAAGACTATATGTTAGTGTGCACAAAAGGATATTAGAAAACTGTACATTACAAAAGTAAGGCGACATTTATTGTGGTTGATTTTAGATTATTATGAAAACAGTGTTTACCATATTATTGCGTGCTGTACTTGATATGCAAAGTTAGAGTACATGGAACAGCTTCTTATTGTTTCATAAGTGAAAAAACATAGAGTGACATAAGGATTCGTGGAAATGTGACATAGTCCTACACGAGGGAAAATCATGTCTCTTTAAGCTAGTTGTACTGGTTGTAGTATTTAAGACGCTTTGATAACTGGGCAGGCATGATATGGGGATTGAGTGTGAAAGTGTGGTTTATCTATACAATGGAAGTGCAAAATATATTGCAATTTATTCAGTAATACTGCTGGTTTTCCTGACAAGGATTTTCATTCTTTTTTTGAGGTTCAGTGGTAGGAAGAGTTTTTCTATGTCGATCTTTCTCCTTGAATCCAGAGGAGAGACGGTGTGGCTGGCCCTTGTTAATGACTCGGAATATGAGGCAGGCCCTCACTCTGTCCTGCATCCTCTTGACTTATTAACTCCACCATCAGTGTTATCTTGACACTTCTTTGGAAAGGGAAATAGAGATTTTACTTTCTTTGTGATTATAAAAGTAATATGTCATGGCAAGAAAATTTCAGAAAACGCCTAAGAAAACAGAAACAACTGTAATCCCCACAAAGAAATCTATTGTTAATAGTACCATATAAATTTGCCTTTTTCACTGCGAATATACATCATAGAATTTATATGATAGAAGAACAGTTCCATAACCTTGTTTATTCACTTCCAATATATGGTGAATACCTTTTTACATCATTAAAATAGGTCTGGATCTTGGCGTTAAATGGCTCTATAGTATTTTATTGTCTCTGTCAAGACGTTTTAGTTGTCACTAATATCTTTGCTATTCTAAATGTTGCCGTTGCCACTGCTGTACGTACGTGGTTAGGTCGTTGTCCAGTTATTTCCTTAGGGTAAATTCCTAGGACTGGGTCAAACAGCATGCACATTTTTGAGCTGCTTCTGTCGTTTGTGAGCTGCGGGTACTGTAACGGCTCCCCACTGTCCTGGAAAGAAGGCTCTAACTCCCTAATGTGGTCTCAAGGCCATTGGTGATCTGGCTGCTACTTAACAATCTTAACAATCTAGCTTCAGTCTTTCGTTTCCGCTGCCACACACACACACACACAGACACACACACACCCCACACACCCTTGCCCTCCCACTGCGCTCTTTGCTCCAGTCATCCTGCACTACCTCTCGCCCACGGGATGCACATGCTGCCTCTCAACCCTTCACATGCTGTTCCCTCCAGCAGCCTCCCCTTCTTCGGGTAAACTCTTCCTTCTGGCCTCAGTTTAGATGTCACTTTCCCCCCGCTCCCCATAAAGTCCGTTTAGCTGCTCCTATTGTGTCTTCCCTGAGCACCTGTAACGTCCCGTAGGATGGCACTTACCACTGCCTTGTAAGAACCTCGTCCCTGGCTCGTCCCCCTCACTAGCCTGTGGGCATCCAGGCTCTGCGTCTGTTTACCAGGGTCATTCTCCTTGTCACTTGGCTCTGAGGGTGTACAGTCAATTCTTGTTAAAGAAGGAAGCACTGCTGCTATGGTCACAGTGCATATTTCTACAACTCCGTGATCTTTTTTTCATTCTAGACTACCCTTCCTGTTGATGGTATGGCTGTTAGAGGAGCTGTTGCCCTCCCCTGCATCTTTTTTTATCATTAACTAATTTATGACATACTTACCCAGAATAAAGAGTGGTAATATTTATTTTCCCTTCTCGTCAGATCAACATGAGCATAATCTGTACAGCGCCCGGGTGGTTAACACTGAGAACCTCATAAGATACGTCCAAAGTGAGGAGGAGAGGTGACCTGTAATGTTAACACCCATAATATCAATCCTTTCAGTTCTTTACAAAATTCTCAACTCCTGTTTCTTTGGGTCAGCTCCTCAGAGACCCACACCCACCACGTCTTCACTCAATCTGACTCAGTTAGGCTCATCCTCTAAGACTCACCTCAAAATGTTCTTACATGTTACACATATAAGGCTCACCCAAGATGTTAACGTGTGAGACTCACCTCGGACGTCACACATGTGAGACTCGCCTCGGATGTCACACATGTAAGATTCACCTCAGATGTTGTATGTATAAGACTCACCTCAGATCTTAGACACGTAAGACCCACCTCAGATGGCCTGTGGTTTTCTCGAGCCCCCACCAGCTGTTTCTCCTGAGTGGTGGTGGCATCTGTGCAGATCTTTGCGCTCACCACGTTTGCCTGCGTGTGTCTGCTTCTGCCAGTTCTGTGAGGCATCAACACTGTCTTGGTTATTACTGTTTCCACAGAGCCTGGCATAGTGACGTGAACTGAACTAGACTGATAAATAACTCAAAAAGATTACTACCTTGATATGTCAGATAAAGCTGTATTTGTCTAAGAGACGAAACAAATGTGACTATATCTACTAGTTATACTTGGCCCACTCTAGAATATCTTAGGTATTGCACAGAAATTTGTGGGATCCTTTTAAAAAAAGTTATTAACACTCTTTTCACTGGATTTTTTCATTGTCTAATTCACTATAATGTTCTTCTGTTCTTATTGTATACGAAACTTTTTTCCCCCAATGGGGTTTACAAACTATTTCTGGGCAATATTTTGTCTGTTCTTGCCTTGAAAGTCAAGTGATTTTCCTTGTCATGGAAAATGTGCTTTGAGAGAACCAGAGAGAAGATTCTCTTGAAAGATTTTGGCAAAACCCTATATGGCTTTTACTTGAAACATTAATCCCTTGAATACTTCTCTTTTAGTTTTTATGCTCATATGTGGAAAAAATGATCCAACAATGCTATGACAGCCCATTTTTTGGATGAGAGAGTTGTTCTTTCACAATAATTAAAAATCATAACTATTTATATGAAGGTGGACTGATCTATAAGCCAAAGTAGAATTTCAATGGATGTAAGAAAGAAAAAATTCTTATATTACTCCTCAAAGCAACTTTTTAAAACAAATTTTATTGAGGTCATAATAGTTTATAACATTGCAAAATTTCAGTTGTACATTATTATTTATCTGTCACCATATATATGTGCCCCTTTACCCCTTGTCCCCACCCCCTTCCCATCTGGTAAACACTAATCTGTTCTCTTTGTTCATGTATTTGTTTACCTTTCACATATTAGTGAAATCATACGATGTTTGTCTTTCTCTGTCTGGCTTATCTCACTTAACATAATACCCTCCAGGTCCGTCCGTGTTGTTGCAAAGGGGACGGTTTTGTCTTTTTTTATGGCTGAGTAGTATTCCATTGTATATATATATACACCACATCTTTTTTATCCATTCCTCAGTCGATGGGCACTTGGGTTGCTTCCACGTCTTGGCTATTGTGAATAATGCTGCATTGAACATAGGGGTGCATAAGTCTCTTTGAATTGTTGGTTTCAAGTTCTTTGGATAAATACCCAGTAGTGGAATAGCTGGGTTGTATGGTATTTTGATTTTTAATTTTTTGAGAAATTTCCATCCTGTTTTCCATAGTGGCTGTACCAGTTTGCATTCCCACCAGCAATGTATGAAGGTTCCCTTTTCTCCACATCCTCTCCAACATTTGTTATTTTTTGTCTTGGTAATTATAGCCATTCTAACAAGTGTAAGGTGATATCTCCTTGTAGTTTTGATTTGCGTTTCCATGATGATTAGTGATGTTGAACATCTTTTCGTGTGCTTCTTGGCCATCTGTATATCTTCTTTGGAGAAATGTCTATCCATATCCTCTGCCCATTTTTTGATCAGGTTATTTGTTTTGTTATTGTTGAGTTGTATGAGTTCTTTATATATTTTGGAAATTAACCCCTTGTCGGATATATGATTTGCAAATATTTTCTCCCAGTTGGTGGGTTGTCTTTTCGTTTTGTTCATGGTTTCCTTGGCCTTGCAGAAGCTCTTTAGTCTGATGAAGTCTCATTTGTTTATTTTTTCTTTTGTTTCCCTTGCCCAAGTAGATATGGTATTCAAAAAGATCATTCTAAGACCGATGTCAAAGAGTGTATTGCCTATATTTTCTTCTAGGAGTTTTATGGTTTCACGTCTTACCTTCAAGTCTTTAATCCGTTTTGAGTT